GAACGTTGAGACTTCGAATGAGTGAAACAAAAATTAAAATAAATTTATAGAATGGATGGATGGGTTGATGGATTATATTTTAATTATGCATAACTATAGTTTTCTATTAAATTAATATATTAAATAATAATTTCATTAATATAATATATATATAAATATAAAATTAAATAAATAATTTAAAACATACTTTAACATATACAATCATTATAAAATGGATCACTATAAATATGCCTTTCACTTGATATTAATTTTTCATGAAAAAAATCTTAATTCGATTCCAAATAAAAAAAGCACTTATCAAATTTAGACGAATCAAAATATATCGGATGTGGGCTATTTTATTATCCATACCTCTACTAATTTTTTTTAAGTTTATTTATTGAGTACCTTTATTGTCAATTATATGATTAAAAAATAAAAAAAGAAAAAGGGTGACACATGTACGCATAAGTGTTTTTTTAATTTATCTAATTAAAAAAGATAAAAGAAATAAAGAAGGAAAAGTTAAAAAAATTAAAAAGACAAAAAAAATGAAAAATAATGAAAAAAAGAAGAAGTTGAGTTGCACACAACATTAACAATGATAAGTTTTTCTTACAAAATTTATATTATAGATTTAATTTTTCCCTTTTTATATTTACTATCTCTTTTCCTTTGTATTGTGCTTTTCTTGATATGGCCAATTTGATATTATTGATTAAAATCATACTTTTTCTTACAAAATTTTTTTAAAAAAGTTTGAAAAAAATTATCAAATCTTAAATGCCACACTTACGCCTACAATAATATTTTCTTTTACAAAATTATCTAATTAGAAAAAATACAAAAAGATATTTTTAACTATTAATATAAAATTGTCCCTACCCATAAAAAATAAATATAAAAATATTTATTAAATGTTAACAAGAAAAAAGGGGAAAACTTTAAAATAATACGAAAAGCAAAAAAATAAAAAAGTTATGTTGGCACATAACATGAGTAATAATTATCTCATTTTTGAAAACTTTATATCATGAATTAAAAAAAAGGCAAAAAAATAAAATTAAGATGTGATGTTGACTCCCTTATTAATATTATTTTTAGAAAAATTATGAAATAAAAAGACAAAAGTAATTAAAAAATATTTTTTTATCAATAATATCAAATGGGCCCAGTATTTTTAAAAATTTAAAAATATTTATTAAACAAAAAAAGAAAAAATAGTAAATATGAAAAAAAATTAAAAAGCAAAAGCAACACGTAAGATATCTTTGATATCAAGTAAGTTAATAAAAAATAATTTATTAAATATATAAAAATAGAAAAAATTGAAAATGAGAAAAAAATTGAAAACATAAAAAG